AAACATACAAAAATCAGTTGGATTCCTTTACACCAACAAAGAGAACCTCGAAGAGGAAATCAGCAAATCAGTACCATTTACGACAGCTCCCAAGAAGATAAAATACTTAGAAATAAATCTAACCAGAGATGTGAAAGACCTACACAATGAAAACTACAACACACTACTGCAACAAACCAAGAGACACCTGCATAAGTGGAAAAACATACCTTGCTCATGGATAGGTAGACTCAACATTGTGAAAATGTCGATTCTACCCAAAGCGATCTACAGATACAATGCAATCCTGATCCAAATTCCAACAGCATTTTTTAAAGAGATGGAGAAACAAATCACCAAGTTCATATGCAAAGGGAAGAGGCCCTGAATAAGTAAAACATTACTCAAGAAGAAGAACAAAGTGGGAGGCCTCACACTACCTCATTTTAGAACCTACTATACTGCCACGGTAGTCAAAACAGCCTGGTACTGTTATAACAACAGATACAAAGACCAATGGAACAGACTGAGAATCCAGACATAAATTCATCCACCTATGCGCAGCTGGTATTTGACAAAGGCCCAAAGTCCGTTAATTGGGTAAAAGACAGTCTCTCTAACAAAAGGTGCTGGCATAACTGGATATCCATGTGCAGAAAACTGAAACAAGACCCATACCTCACACCATGCACAAAAACTAACTCAAAATGGATCAAAGATGTAAATATAAAATCAAAAACGATAAAGATCATGGAAGAAAAAATGGGGACAATGCTAGGAGCCCTAATATATGGCATAAACAGAAAACAAATCATAAGTAACAATGCACAAGCAGCAGAAGAGAGACCAGATAAACGGGAGCCCCTAAAAATCAAACACTTATACTCATCAAAAGACTTCACCAAAAGAGTCAAAAGACAATCTACAGACTGGGAAAAAAATTTTGGCTACGACAGATCTGATCAGCATCTAATCTCTAAAATCTACAAGATACTGCAAAACCTCAACAACAAAAAGACAAATAACCCGATTAAAACATGGGCAAAGGATATGAACAGGTACTTCACCAAAGAAGATGTTCAGGTGGCTAATAGACACATGAAGAAATACTCACGATCATTAGCCACTGGAGAAATGCAGATCAAAAGTACAATGAGATATCTCACCCCAACAAGGCTAGCATTAATCCAAAAACACAAAGCAGTAAATGCTGGAGAGGTTGTGGAGAGACTGGAACACTTATATGCTGTTGGTGGGAATGCAAAATGGTACAACCATTTTGGAAATTGATTTGGCACTTCCTTAAAAAGCTAGAAATGGAAGTACCGTAAGATCCAGCTATCCCTCTCCTTGGAATATATCCTAAATAAATAAGAGCCGTCGCGTGAATAGGTATCTGCACACCCATGTTCACTGCAGCACTGTTCACAATAGCAAAAAGATGGAAACAACCTAGGTGTCCATCAGCGGATGAATGGATACACAAATTATGGTATATCCACACCATGGAATACTACGCAACGATAAAGAACAACAATGAAGCTGTGAAACATCTTACAAGGGAAGCTGGTGGCCATTATGCTGAATGAATTTAGTCAGTCACAGAAGGACAAATATTGTATAAGACCACTATTATAAGAACTCAAGAAAAGGTTTAAACACAGAAAACATACTTTGATGGTTACAAGGGTGGGGAGGGAGGGTGAGGGTTATTTACTAACTAGATAGCAGATAAGAATTATCTTAGGTGATAATTAGCACACACTACAGGGGAAATCAGCACAACTGGACTAAACCAAAGCTAAGAATTTTCCTGAATACAATCAAACACTTTGAGGGACAGAGTAGCAGGTGTAG